GCCCTGAGTTTTGCTGTCCCCGGGGGGCGTTGATCTCATTGCTTTGGAGCTATCCCACCATCCCGGATTGTATTGGAATATTCCTGCACCTTCAGGTCAACTTTGCCACTGCAAAAACAACTTCTGATCCCATCCAGCCTGTGTCACATCGAGATTTCATTTCCTGCCACAGCAACAGTACCATCTTTGTGTCAAAGCACCGGGCCGCAAACAGGCAGGTCTTGTAGGGCGAACCAAGGGTGGCCACCCCGCTGGCATCTCTCCCCACACAAATTGCTGCCAAACAGGCCCAGTTTTGGACAGGGCTTTGAGAGTTCCCAAAAATATCAGGTGCCCAAAGTGCTGGCTTTGTGTCGATGCACGCAATGGCTTCGCCACGGGAGGAGACCACTGCAAAAACGGCAACCCAGCTAGCCCGGGCCAGCTGAAAGCTGGCCTGCTGTGCCTGGCCGGTCACTCCTGTACCAACTGCTCCCTGCGGTCTGCAGTTAAAGCTTCCTCTCTTCTTTCCAGGCTGATCAGAAGTCTCAAGGCTTGCAAGTATCCCAACAGCCCCGCCAGCACTGCAGAAACACCACCCAGAGGCAACCAGCAAAGGCACGTGCAGGACCTCGGTGTTTTTTTGGCAGCTCGAGGGAAGGGGGTGCGAGGGGATGAACTCCCCCTGGTGCTGGGGTGCCACTGCGGTTAGGGAAGTGGAGTAAAAGGAAAAAGAGAGAGGGAACACGAAGAAACAATGCCTTGAAAAGACAGAAAAGCACTGGTTTGGGGGTGTGTGAATGCTCAGAGCCGCTGGAGGAGGAAACTGGCCCCAAAACCTCGGTGTAGGGGGAACAAACCCCATCAAAGACACAGCTGGAAGCCTGCTGTCCTGTTGTTTCCATGCCGTGTAAGAGGTTACCATTTGAAATGTTCTCACAGCATGCTCCTACAGCCCATGCAGCTACTGAAACCAGCAGCTTGTCAGCTCCGCCAGCAGCAAGGTGGGGCAGGACGGGTCCCTCGCTTTGGCCAGGGCCAGGCAGGGATGCTGCTGCCGAGCGGGGCTGAATTTCTGTCCTGGGAACAGTGTGGACTCACTGCTGGGGAGCATTTGGGAAAGTCAGGAGCCTTGGGGGGCTGATCGGTGGCGGTGTGCTGCTGGAGAGAGCACCGGTGTCCTTCAGAGCGGGCAGGTGTGCAGAGGAGAGCAGCGCCAGGCAGAGCAGCGACCACCTGGGGATGGCCGGGGCCCTGGGGGGGCACAAAGCACAGCCAGGAGCTTCCCAGGGAGGCCCAGGGCATTGTGCTGTGGTTGATCAGATGGCAGATCTGCCAAAAAAGAAAGCCTGGGCCCCAAGGCCAGATGCACTGGTGCCACACCAGGAAGGTGACTGCTACTGATACGCACAGCTAGATCCGGATCCCCTCCGAAGCTGCAGAATCAGGCTAAAGCAAGCAGTGGAATATTTTAACACGGAGTAGTACATGTGCAGCTGTCTTTATATACCAGAGCTGTTCATGCTAACAAAAATAAGGATTAAACATGGAAAAGACCATCTCCAATGTTGTATCAAAACAGCCCTGACCTGCAGCAGCAAAGCAACACCCCAAATCTATATTTATACTGTTTCAAAAACTGTATTTATTTGCTCAGCCCGCAACGCCTCCAAGGAGGAGAGGAGGGGAGGCCAACGTCTGCAAACGACTAGGCACTGGGAGTGTTTGCAGAACTGTTAATCAATTAAGAAAGAGAGGATGGCGAGATAATCCCGCCTCTCCTGCCATGTCCCAACAGCACCAGTCCCAGGGGAGCTGCGAGGTACGGGGCTGGCCGGGACCCATGTCCCTGCGGTCTCCTGCCCCTGCAGAGGGAGGGCTGACACTGCTGCCATTGTCACCAGCAGACTGCAAGCCACCCCCGGGACACGAGCGGGGCGCAGGCGAGCTTTTGAGGATCGCTGCGTGTTTGCTGGCCAGCCTGACTCATCCCCCGGTCAACGAAATCCAGCGGGGGAAGGCCAGGCAAAACACAACCAGCTGGGAGCCCAGGGGCCTCTCCCCGCAGCCAGGCGAGGTGCCAGTCGTGGCAGATGCCAACCAGCTCCCGCCGCAGGAATGTGCTCACCGAGGCATGGAAATGAAAAACACAAGGGGGAAGAACTTCCCCTTTTATTCACCATTTGCGCCTGGAGAAAGGGAGCCGCCGGGCAGACACCTTTCCCCCAGTAGCGCTGCCCTGCTGCCACCCCGCAGCAGGACCAAAAATAACACGGCATCCTCCCACCTCTGCTGTGCTGGTGAGGAGCTCTGCGGGGCAGGGACACCCTCCCACCAGCACAGCATCTGGGCAACTACCTCCCGGTAGCACCACGGGGAAACGCAGCGCTTACCTGAGCCCACAGCCTGAGCTCTCCAGCCACAACGTGCCTGTCCATGCGGGGAGAGAGGCTCCCCAGTCCCCATAGCCTGCAAGCTCAACCCTCACAGAGATAAAGGGTGAAAGAAAGGGAAATGTATCCTTGGAGGAAGAAAGAATAGAGTGTGGTTTGAGATCTCCATGGTTTGGACTCTGAAAGGGGTCTTGTTCTAGGAATACACATGGGTGGAATGCATTTACGGGTGGGGTTTGCAAGGACCTCACCGGCTTTTAGCTCCCATCTGACCCAGGCTAGCAGAAATCTCTGCAGAGATGGAAACCTGTCAGCCAGTCTTTGCAAGGGGATAGGAAAACCAGGGATCAAACATCAGCTGCGCTCAGGTAGGAAGCACAGATCCACTTCCTGGCTTCACTGTCCAACAGAAACAGGCTGAACCTTGAATCTCACTGATCAGTTGCTCTTGCACAGCAGAGCTGGGACACAACTTTCAGGAGCTGTTCAACAGATGGATTCGAGTCAGCCCAAGGCAGTTGGACCTGCTCTGATGAGAAAAATCAATCAGTAGAAGGAGAATGTTTTAGAAGGTGAATTGTTTGCTTTTCCACTCTTTCACCCAGCTCCCTTTACCAATGGCACACACCGGAGGGGCACTCTCAGTCCTGATCAACCTGGAGCAAAGGAGGAAAATCTGGAGGGGTCTGTGCACTTCTTTCACTGCCTCGAAGTGCTGAAGGCACTCAGAGAAAGATTCCAGCGACCAAAGCACGTGCCCAACTCAGTAGCTACTGAATCAGGCATAAGCAAAAATACCGATCAGCATTATTTTGCTCCAAGAGTTTTAAATTCTGCAGTAACCACAACTAAGCGCTGCAGCAGGTCCCTCCGACAGGAGCCCTGGGGTCCCACAGTGATAGCACCTCTCAGGGGACGAGGCAGGGAGAATTATTTCACGTTGAAGCGGGCGGCGAGGCCCCAGCTGCTCATCCAGCAGGGCATTGCACGTGGGGACTGACACACACTGGAAGACCGACACGGCCTGGTTTGCACCGAGCTGCCCCGTCCAGCCAATGCCACCTGCCTCATGGGCTCCCCAGCACCGACATTCCCACCCCAGCAGCTGTCCCTTTCTTCCCCAAATTAATCACGCCGTGAAAACTGCTGCTTAACCTGGCAGCTGCTGCTGGAGCTGGGGCTGCCAGGCCCTTTGCATAACGCCTGGAGCATGCTCGGTGGCGCTGCCTCATTCCTCGGCGCAACAATGGAAAAACCCAGAAATCTCGGTGAATAAGCCAGTCTGTGTCCTAAGGCAGCCCTTGGATTTCCTCCCTTTCTTGAGACTGTCTCGCCTCTGCAAAAAGCTCCACTGGGGCTCCGCGGCCAGGCTGAGCAGCAGCGAGCTCAACAAGCTCGCGGTTATGTGCCGGGCTCCCAGCTGTTTGCTACAGCCAGGAACTGGCTGCAAATCAGTTCAAAATGTTCCACTTCCAAACCCCACCCCGCCACTCCTGGATCTCTCCCCTCACACTCCCAGGAGCAGGCACTGGGGCTTTTTTTTTAACTGCTTTGCTTTGTGTGTCTGTGTCGGGAGAGCAGGGCAGCTCCCGTGTATCAGCACCCCTCTGCACCACCACGTCTTGCAGCGGCTCCTCCAACACGGCCCCAGTCCCGCTGCAATTCCCTCCTGCAGCTTCTCCATCCCTTTACCCCTGCCCACAGCTTTGTCTGGTTGAGCACTGCCCTGCATCTCACCAGATCAGGCCCGCTGTCAGCACCACCGGCCGGCGTTTCTTCCTTCAGTGTCCCGTCCACCAGCCTGTGCCTCGTCACTTCCCCGCAGGCTCTGCCTCTGCCCCATCCCTTGCTGGAAGGCAGCGGCTGCTGCTCCCCATTTCTACGTGCTGAGAACCCCCCCTCGTGTCACACTCCACGGGGAAGATGCGGCAATAAATGATAAATGTGCTCCCTTTCCTGACCAAGCTCCTCGGTCAGCCTAGACCTGAAGGTCTTCAACCCAAATTTTGCATCGCAAAAGCACCTCCGGGGCTGGTGACCACTGGGCACGGCACTGCCTCTCTCCCCTCTGCTCCGGTCCCTCCTTGAGCAAACTCCTCTGAGATCAGCAAGACAAAATCCTCCAGGACCCCTCCTCTGTGATAACAGATAAAGGTGTTTCTCCCCCCCCAAAAAAGCACTTCTCCCCAAACCAGCCTAGGCTAAAACACAGCCTAGGAGCCTGCTGAAAGCTTCAGCACCTACGGCCACCCAGGTGACTGCGAAGAGCAGCAGCGCTCCTCGCTGCGCACCCTGGGGCTGCTGCTCAAGAGGAACAGGTCGCTTTTTCCCCTGCTGATAGACCTGGGCCCCACTTGGCTCAGCAGGGCCCAGGGGTTCCCCACAGAGCAGGTTTGCTGACCATTTGCCTCCCTGCTGCAAAAAACACCCCTGCACGGTGACTTCTGCAGCGGAGCCCAGCAGTGCCGAGGACATTCCAGCGCCTGGTGCCAAGGGGTTAAGCTCGCAGTAAGTTCCCAAAGCCACTTGCTTCCAACTGGCTGCTGCCTGCGGTTTGTGGGAAGGGATTTTGCTTTTTAATAACGTTATAAATAGGGCTGTGTTCGGCATGCTGCAAACCCAGCCACTCTCTCTCTCTCCCACCCATCTCCCTCCTCCTCCTCCTCCTGCTGCTGCTTCCCATCCCGCCGCACCGATTCCTGAGCTGAGCATGGCTCGGTCGGGCTTCTTCCTCGGAGTCCTCCTGGCGTGTCTCGCCTGCAGCGTGCAGGCGTGTCCCCCGAGCTGCCACTGTCACGGCGGAGACCTGCAGCACGTCATCTGTGACAACGCTGGCTTGAAGAAGATCCCCAAGGTGCCCGAGCAAACACGGCTGCTCAACCTGCAGAAGAATAATTTCCCCGTGCTGCCCACCAACGGGTTCCGGGACATGAAGAAGTTGGTGTCCCTTCACCTCCAGGGCTCGCGGATCAAGGAGATCTCGACAGGAGCCTTCAGGGGGCTCAAGAGCCTGGTCTACCTCTATCTCACCGACAACCAGATCAGTGTCATAAAGCCAGGAGCCTTTGATGACCTGTCTGAGCTCACCTACCTGTACCTGGACCAGAATAAGATCCCTGACTTATCCAAAGGGATCCTCTCCCCTCTCGTCAACCTCTTTATCCTGCACCTAGGCAGCAATAAAATCCAGGAGCTGAAGCCAGGGGTCTTCAGCGGTGCTAAAGACCTGCGCTGGCTCTTCCTCTCTGACAACTCCCTCACCAGCCTCGTGCCCGGGGCCCTGGAGGACGTGGAAAACCTCGCTGTGCTGCACCTGGACAAGAACCAGCTGAGCAGCTACCCCGTGAACGCCATGAGCAAGCTGCGGGTGCTGGAGGAGCTGAAGCTTTCTCACAACCCCATCGAGGTCATTCCCGACAACGCCTTCCAGTCCTTCGGGCGGTACCTGCAGACTCTCAACCTGGACAACATGAAACTGAAAAAGGTGAGTCCTTTCTCTTTCCCTTTGCTCTGGATGGGAAGCACAGGGCTCGATTCTCTTCTTTCCAAAGCTCTCGGTTCGTTGTCCCTCCCCCAGTTTGCAGAGGAGAGGGGGGGATCCGGGCCTACAGACAGCGAGGCACAGCTGAAAAAATCCCTCACCCAGCCCAAGCGAGGGATGAGAGATGCACCCCACCCTTTTGGTGGGGTGTTTGATGCAAACCCAAATGATCTGGGGCTGATCAAACTCCTTGGAAAGGCAGCACATTCCCTCCTGAGCTGGAGCTCACACCAGTCATTGGGGAAGTATTCGGGGTGCTCCAGGACAATCGGCAGCCTTCCAGCATCCCGGACCGGGGCATGGGATGAGAGCCAAGCATCCGCCTTGCACACGAGGGGCTGAAGGGCACTGCCACCTTGCAGAGCCGAGCTGCCCGGCCTCCTTCGTTCAGCCTGGGTGCCCGCTGCTGGCTGCGAGGGGGAGATTCCTCAGGAGGGGTCACGAGCAGAAGCTTTGTGCTTACGCCTTGCAGACAGGTAGACCTGAACCTTCACCTTCACCTCCCCCCCCTGCCTCCCAGCCTTACACGTTATAAAGAGAGGTTTGTTTATTGATGCTCTCTCTCAGAAGCAACTCTCGCAGCACCTCACAAAGGGGCCCTGTTCCCACTAGGGAGGAGGAGGGACATTCAGGTATCCCGGCAAAACAACCCCCTTCTTCTTCTGTGAGGAAGCATGACCCAAAGTCAGGAGCATCGCACTCAGGGAGCTGCTGGCATGGGGACCTCTGAAATGCCAGGCAGCAGGGCAAGAACAGAGAGGAGCACGGTGCAGGAAGAGCAGCACCCTACAGCCTAGGTGCACCTTGTGAGGCTGGAAAGGGAGGGAGCCTCCATGGGAGGAGAGCAGTTCTCCCTGGGATGATGCTTGGCCGAAGACGCACAACGACAAAGAGCAGCCGGGTAAGGCAGGGCAGCACTTCACAGCACAGCAACAGCCACTGTGTGCAGAAAGATGGGATGAAATAGGGAATTTCTTGGCAACAAAGGGCAGCCCAAAGGGTCTCGGGGTGAGGACATCACCTGTAAGTCAAAGAACAAACCCACCGAGAGCTACCACAGAGCATAGCAGTCAGTACCATCAGTATTTGAGCCCTTGCCCACTCCAGAAGGGGAGTAACCAACCCCAAACCCAACCCGCTGACCTCCCTGGGGGACACACTACACACGCTGTCCCACCGCTTTCGTAGGTTCCGTTTCCAGGCAGTCCCATCATGCACAAGCCAAAAGTTGCAGCACTGATGTCCCACCAGCTGTACGGGCACCAGGGTCCCGAGTTTGGTGTTGAAGAAATCTGACTAACTCAGGGTGCTGGGGTGCTCCAGAGAATCAAGGATTCAATTTTGGTTCCATCCAAAAGCATTAGAAAAACTTGAAGTCTATGAATCTTGTCTTGTGTAGCAATGATCTAGTCAGTTAGAAGACCACCTACAATATTCAGATAAGGACAGATCAAGGAACTGCTCTGGTATCTGTCATTCCTTATTCAGGATGCTTTCGAGATTCCTAGCTAGACAAACACAATCTGCTCTTTGATGGTGTCTGCAGCTTCTATGAAGTCAAGGAAAATACCTTTCTTTCCGAATCTTCTAACCCAAAGCACGATCCCAGATCACAACAGAGCTTGAGGGACTCAAGACACAATTATGCAACAGCCAAAAAAGAGCTGGAAAAGGTTCTGACACCTCAAAGAAATTGCAGAGGTTTGCAGACAGATTTATAAGGACTGGCCAGAAAGCAAGGTTTAACAATTCTAGCCAGCAAGGAAGACTTTTTTTTTCAGTGACCACCTGGGGACAGGGCTCTTTTGCAGCCAGCTACCTCCTTTCCTCCCCAATGTCCTGATAAGACACCAGTTTACTGGATCAACGCTTACCAGTGGTGGCCACTGCAGCTTCTGGGCTTTTTTTTTTTTTTTTCCCCTCCAGGAAAACAAAGTCCCCGTGCCAGCTCTGAGCTTCCTCTTCAAAACTTCAGCAGACCTCATATCCAAATGGCCCACATGCAAACTCTGCAGACATCTAATAGCAGACATCTAATCACAGGGGCCACATGACCTAGGAAACCACTTTAAGTGCTGCTGACATCTGAACTGCAGCTCTTTTTCCTTCATAAAAATATCACCCTTAGCTTTTCCTTGTACTGATTGCAAGGTTTTAGAGCTGATCAAGTGCAAAACCATTCCATGTGACAGTCACAGCCTCCGTGGCACTTGAGCAGAGCAAGGATGGCCCTCGGGCTGCTCTGCAGCTCTACAACCACAGAATTCCCTTTCCCCTGTCACCTGGGGGCTGCAAAAGGAATCACAACAGCAATCCTCCGTTCAGATCACGGGAAATTCACCAGTTTCTCATAAATGCCCCTCTGGCAGGAAGCACAGCAGCTGTTACCTGCAGGTACTGCCTCTTCTCATGGGGCTGGGAGAGGAAGGAGAGGCTGAGATGGAGCCCCGCTGGCCAACCCAGCACACAGCTGGGGCAGGCAGGTTAGCACCCTGCTGCACAGCATGTCAGCATCTCACCATCAGCACCATAAAACCCACCACCACCAGCCCAGCTTTGGCCCCAACAGCTCCAGCACTTTGGGATTCTCTTAGCTAAGCTCCAAACCTATCCAACGCTGCTTAATTTGGAAGATCGATGAAGCTCACAGCTCAAAATAGCACCTTTCCCTCTGACAAGCTTTGCAGCTTAGAGAGCCTGAACACACCCTGGTGGTCCTGTCTGAAGCGTGACTGGAAGCACAGGTCCTCAACTCGGAGGGTTTCTGGTAGGCCTGGCGAATCTCCTCTCTGCATTTTTGAGCAAGCTTTTCCTTGTTTTGAGGCAGAGGGAGGAATGGCTCTTCGTGGCCAAGGTCGTGTGTCAACAACTCCATCTCCAATTCATCACCTCCAAGAAAGCCTGTGTTGATGGGTTGGCTTTCAAGAAGAAACTTTCCAACCCGAGTAACCATTGGCTGCGAAAACCAAAAACAAACCCAGAAATGAGTCCTGAAGGAAAAGAGAGGAGAGGGCTGCAAAGCTGGGGCCACAGCCATGCCAAGCTTCAGCAGGGGAAGCCCTCCCTTAAAGGCTACCCATTAATCAAGAAAAGGCAGGTCTTTTGCAGCATCCCTTGCAAAAACCTACTAGAAATGAGAAAAAAAATAATGGAGGAGGTTGAGGTGCTGGAAACCTGCCTCTGTTTCTGCACTGCTCCGATGCCAAGTGTAACTTTCCACTCGGAGCCCTTGGGCACTGCCAAAGTCTACAGGCCCCTCAGACGCCACAAACACTCCCTCCTTCAGCCGTTCCAGGACAGGGCAGGCACCAGGCACTGGGAGGGTTTCCAGCCTTGGAAAGGAATATACCCAGAAAATACCTTCTTTTAGAATGGAGAAGGATGGCTCGAGAATTAGAGAGGACTGGCAGACTCTGCTTGATTTAGGGGTGTAGCTGCAAAGGCAATCCTGCATGGATTTGGGATGCAGCTTTCTTCAGGTAGGAGACTGTCCAGGAACCCCCAGCACAACACCTCTCCCGTAGCTTTGTAGAGCTTCCAGCGAGCCAGGACTCTCCCCTCTCCTCCTCCGCTTGCTCTCTGCACACTTATGCCACTGAAAATCCTGAATGGAAGCACTCAAGGACCCGGGAAAACATCTCCCCTCCTCTCACTCAGCGCCGCTCAGCGTAAACCTCTGTGCTTAGTTTGCAGACAACGCGTTTGCTGGTGTGACCGTTCTGAAGACTGCTCACCTCGAGAACAACCGGCTCACCCAGCTGCCCCGCAACTTCCCCTTCGACAAGCTGGAGACCCTGACGCTCTCCAGGAACGCCTGGCACTGCACCTGCCAGCTGGCACATCTGCGCAAGTACGGCACCGCTCGCCTCCTCCCTCCCCTAACTCCTCGGGCTCTCCCCAGGCTGTGCTGGGCAGGAGGGGATTGCCGAAGGCTGCCACCAGCCCGGTAGCTCTCCCCGGCCTGCCACGTGTGTGTGTGTGTGGTGTGAGCAGCGCCCTCGGTGTGCCGTGCCTCTGGTAAGCTCCCTGTGTTCTTCCTCCTCATGTTCCAGGTGGCTGAAGGGCAACCGCACCCGCACGGAGGACACATGCTCCACGCCCGCGCAGTACCGGGGGCAGTCCATCCGAGACACCCCTGCCCTGCGCGCCTGCAAGCTGCCCACCAAGAGGTCCAGGAAAGGAAGCCGTCATTAAGCACGTAAGAGGGCTCCCGGAACCCTTTCTCCTACCCGTAGGGCGTAGGCACGTCTCACACGGGCACGCAGCTAGCCCCAGGGCCAGCGGGGTTACTGGGGTTTTTGACTTAGATGGCAATAACGCTGAGATTTGCCTCAAAACTCACCTGCTGGCACTGCACTCAGAGCTGCTCCATCTCCTGGGAGGCGCTGGACTCCACACGCTCTCAGAGCAGGGAATGTGCCTGGAGCAGCAGGGAGGGAGTCAAGCCCATAAAGCAAACACCGAGCTAAGGACAGGCCTGGGGCAGCAAGTGAGGGTGAAACCTGTAATTAGGTGTCAGATGAAGGGTGGATTTAGCCCACTTCCAGCCCTGAGACGGGATAATACACACCTTACCTCCCTAACTGAGTGGGGATGCTCAGCCTTTTGCCCCAGTGAAGGTGCTCCCAGGTCTGGTTCAAAAGCAAGACAAGGCTGGGAAATCTGGCCCCAGGCTGCCCAGCCCACGTCTTCCATAGGAAAACAAATATCTTCCAGGAGGAGCAGCTCCCAGCCCAGCACCTGCCTTTAACAACTACTGGTCCATCCAAGACGCTCAGGTATTCATAAACAAAGGCTGGTGCCTTCAAATGAATGTCCCAGAATAGGGAGGAGCGAGACGGTAAATACCCGTTGAATAAGGGGTGCTGGGCCAGAGGGTGGTTCAGGAGACGGGGCTGCCTTCCCTTTGAGCAGCAAGCTGCTGACATCTACCAATCCAAACACAAACCGTGACAAAGTAGCACGCAAACACCTCTAACAACTGGAAAGTGCTAAGCATTCAGTTCAGAGCACGGAGCCGCAAGAAAGCCACAACTGTCATCACTCCACCCCGAGCATTTTTCTTTTCCCCATCCCGGGAGGAGATTTGGAGCTTGGATGGATTCCAAAGGACTTTGGATGAGCCTGCAAATTCGTAAGCTTTTGGGAAAGGAAGGGAGCTTTGCCTATTTGTTAAGTAAAGTACAGTGACCCTGCTCTGCACTGTAGGAACAAGAGCTGTCGCTGTGCCCTCTCACATAGGAAAGGACCAGGCAGGAGCCCAAGGCCCAGGTATGGCCCTTTGGTCACCGAGGAGGTGTGTGACAGAATGGAGACGGTAAATTTATGACCAAAATGTCAGGGATGGTGCCAGCAGCTCCGAGCCTTCCTGAAGTGATTATTTATCTTGTAGTGCCAGAGGCTTTATGGATCAGACATGGAAATACCAGGCGTTCCATATAGGGCGGGTAAAGTTCCGCACTAAAGATGGAAAAACTTCAGTTTCCTAAACCACAATGCTTAAATGTGTGTTATTCACAGGCCTGGCCCTTCTTAACCTTCTCTCCCTGTCTGAACTCAATTTCAGTTCACTCCTCTATGAGGAGAGTAAGAAAACCATAACAATACCTGGCTTTCCTATAGCACCTTTTACCCAGCAAGTTCAGGAGCATTAGTGAAATGAAAACCTATTTATTGCGGTCTTACAGAAGACAAAGCTCGGTGCCCTCGGGTGTGAGTGCCAAAATGCAAGCACACAGACCCAGTTCAGTGCAGTGACACAATTTTCAGGAGCATGAAGCAACTCTGACCTCACCATGCACCTCCTGAGAGCCAGGCAGCTTTCTCAGCTGGGTTCTACAGGCACAGGTACACGTTTCAGAGCTGAACGGTGACTTGGGTCACTGCACAGGAACCACGTTTCAGAGGAAAGGCTGTTTGGCATTTTCTAAAAACTCTGCCTGCTCTGGAGTTTCAGAACTGGGGCACCAAAACAATTCACTGCTCCTGAACTCCCTTGTTAATCTTATTTCACTGCTCTCGGGTTTCTTCCTTTACAAAGGAAGCGCTCGCTGGCTACGAACACTTCGGGTCAGATACTCAGGAGGCAGATAACCAGTTGGCAGAAGAGGTTGGAGACAGGACTAACACATCTCCTCTGTGGTGGGAACTTGTTACGGCCTCTTGACCCCTAATTCTTCACTTTCAATTATGGGCTTCACTCACTCACTGAGCATAAAAACAAACAAAAGCTCTGAGTTTATTTATGTGCTTAGAAATGCCCTTAACCATGTGGACTTCTCCTTTGTTTTTTTTTCCCCTAGCAGGCCCTGGTATGGCCTGTCCTGGCGACCGGTCACTCCAACCACCAGAAAACTACTGACTTCCGAGTCCTTCCTTAAGCTTCTCCTACCTGTCAGGAAACATATCTGATATATCCCAACACCTCCAGCCTCCTCCGAATCCCCGCTTCTCTGCTGATCGCAGGATGGAATCCACCTTCTCAAGCTTTTCCGACATCTATGTATTTTAAAAGAGGCATTTTTAAAACCTAAACTATGCATGAGCATACTAAGACGAGCTAAGCTAGATCCTGCCGGTAAAACACAGTCATCTTTCCCCGAGGCAAGGTAACCACAGCCCTGATCAATCACTTTGTTTTGATTGATCCTACAAGCAAGTAGGAAGGCAGAAGCGTTCTCCCCCAGCTGCTTGATCAGGAAAATTGGGCTCAAGCCATGCAAAAAGACTCCTCTGCCTACCCCCGGAGGGGATCCCTGCAGGCCAGGGCTGAGGATGATAGGGGAAGCGATGCCCAGAGCTGCCCTTTTGCTACGAAAGGCAGCGATTTCCCTAAGTCAGGCAGAAATCTTGAAGCGAAGCAGTACTGGGAAAGGCTGAAACTGAAGCAAGCTGAGACTGGATTCCCTCCCACCCTGTGGGGTCTCCCAAGGTACACGCATGTCCCAGAGGAGAAGGTGTGCACCGTGCTCCAGCACCCCTCCTCCTCTCTCTGCCCGTACTCCAGAGGATCTAGCAGGACACCAGGATGACTGTGGTTTATTGTCACGGCTATCACAATGCCACAGTTGCAACTTAACTGTGTTTTTTAATCCTAAAGAGTTATATAAATATATGTATATTTATTCCTCTGTAACTGAGTGTAAATGACCTTTAAGAGGATGGAATCTCCTCTGTTTCCTACATAGAAATCAAATTGTATATTTTCTTATGTACATCTTCTGTATAAAGCTCTTGCTGCAAAGATGAATTCGCCCAGTCTCCCGGTGTCTGTCTGAGGGCTCAGAAGTAACATGAGGCTGTTGGTACAAATATAGACTTAATCCTCTTTATCCTACAGGCACAGTGACTGTTTGGGAGAGGAGGGCTTTATTATTTTTCTTTCTACAAAGCAGGAACGGGTGACACCTAACGAGTCCCGGGCGGCTGTAGTAATGTCTGAAAATATTTTGGGAAGCTGAACTCTGGCCTACTATAAAAATAGGTGGCTGTCATCCGACAGAGTCCAGGGGATGGCACCGGCTGGTGTTTTCAGCTCAGCATTAAGAGCTTCACATCCAGGAAAAAACTCTGGCTGCCTCTGAGACAGCCCCAGGACGGATGCCCTGGCTGCTCCTGGTTCACCCCCGAGCACACAGCCATGCCTACGAGGCTGCTGGTACTGGCGAGGGCTGCATTTGCCAACAACAACAGCCTAATCTGACGCCAAGCCCCACGTGTTCAGCCACCACAACAGAATCCTTCCTCAGCGTTGGCAAGTGGTGTGGCACTGAGGCAGAATTTGTTTCCTTTAAAGCAAAACAGAAAAGCTCTTTTTTGGCTCAGCCATTTGCTCGCAGGCTGCAGCATTCCCCAGCACCTCAGAAAGCCATCACCCTGCGTGCCAGGGCCCCTTTGCTGGCGGCCTGTCCCCTCCCCTTGCAGGACACGCTGGTGCTCGTGTACAGGCCCGCGGGTGCGTGGCCATGCAGCGGCCCAGAAGCACGTCCTCCCACACGTGCTGCAGTCCTGGCAGTGCAGTGCCTGGTGCCGCATGTCTGCATCGTTCTGTTCCCACCTTCAGCCTCCCAAACGCGCGGCATGCGTGAGGTTTTATAGCTGCATCCAGCCCCAGTGGGGAAAGAAACCCGACAGCTCCGCAGCAAGACGAACACACGCGGCCACCCCCAGCAATACAAACCAGAACCGCCTCTCCCCAGACCATTCATCCTTGCGGCGTGTACGAGGAGACACAAGGGTTTATAAACTTTGAAATACACCAGCAGCAGCTCAGCTGATGACACTAAACGAAGCATCTCTTCTTACAAGGCTTCCTCCCCAGACGCCCCAGCAGTTAACAGGCAGAATTCCCCTCCTCCCTTCCAGTCCCTCTACATCTTCACTCCTCAGCCCAGCCTCGTGCCCCCGTTCCCATCACACCTGACCCCTGCAGCTCTGGCACAGCTGCTGTCCCGAGGTGCACAAACCCAGAGTCTCAGCACAACAACCGACCCTGACAGCTCTGCTCACAGCAACCATGACTCACCACAGTCTCTGGCATGTGCATCTTCGTTAAAATCATCTTCATGATCTCAGGGGGCACAGGGGAACCTGCAATAATTCCTAGAAGAAAGAGGAAAATATGAGTGTCTTGGAAACCATCTGTTTATTCACAGGAGCAGTCTCTCAGAAGGTTCCGCGCTCCTAGATTTAAAAGCTGGCAAGACCTTTGGGATACACTGGTTCCTGTCAAAATACTTTCTATTTTTATGGATACAGGTCCTAGTTATTCTAGACGCAAAAGCTGCAGCAAGGCCAGTTTCCCTGAATGAATTAAGGGTTGGCAGAGTTCACTTATTAGGAAAATAAACTCAATAACACATACCGAGTCCAAGCTGCAGTTCCAGAAAAGGAAAGTTTCAGAGCAGAAAGAGGCATAGATTTTTAGCAGGACAAACACTCCCATAGATCATCTACCACCACAAATACAAAAACCTTTCCATCTGACTTAAGCAGACGAGCCGTTTTGGGAGAGGGCAGATCACATTTTCACCTGTTCAAATCTCTCCTAGGATGACAGAGCAAAAGAGCGGGGCAATATATAGGCTTTGCTGGAGAACAAGATGAGACAAGGATCATTTTTCACGTAACAGGGGCGAATAGATAATCTGCTCTAGGTGTTTCTTTATGCTCCAGCACCATCTCCTCCCTGTGCTGCCATTGCCTCAGAAAGACAGGTGGCATCCCTGTTTCAGCTGTCATGCTCAGCTATTTCTGAGGCTGTCTGAGATGAGAGAAAAAGCTCATGCACACGTTACAACACGTGCTCCAGTATTTATACGAATGACTTTAAAAACAGGCAGGAAACTTTAGGTCAGAGAAAATCACAGAATAGTTCTCGTTTTAGATACTGCACCAGCTTAAAGCACACGAAGTGTCTGCTGCCACACAGCGGTGGTTGGTGATAGAGAGTCGAGCAGCATCAGGCTTCCCAGCTTACCCCACAGCAGACAAAACAGAAAGGTCCTTCCCTAGACTGCTTTAAGATGAAAGAAGAGGCCTAAAAATACAGAGGTCTTGAAGGAAACCCCAAGGAAAGGAAACGTGGCATCAGGTTAACAGACTCACACAACAGAACTTTGTCCTCCAGGAGAGTGATCTGTTCACACAGCTAAATATAGCCTCCCAGCAGGGGACCAATAATATCCAATTTCTCAGTGTTTTTCCATTTTCTGTTTGAGTTGTCAGACTTACCTCCCCGGAGAGACGACAGGTCGTAGGAGTCAAAGTCTGGCTGGGAGAGCATGTCTATAAACATGGTTGGCGTGCCATGTAAAAAGGAGCATCTTCAAGAAGGGAGAGAAAAGGCAAAGCTGCAGTGTTGGAACCCGGTGCAGTAACAGCTCCAAACCCTGCTCCCATCACACTCTGGGCCTCAGAGGCAGTAGCACAGAGGCAGGCACAACACAAGAGCCTCATCGGGGTGTAAATACATCCATCAGGGTGCATGCACATGTGTGCATATAAAAATATACAAATATAGACATAAACACAACCACAGCTGCTTTGTTCTACAAGCTGCACGTGAAGCACAACCCGGAAACGCGACCACCTCAGCAGCAGAGCTACATTTGGAGAAGAAGGGCAAGTGGCTGGGTGTAAAAACACAGCAGCCCTAACAAACCAAGAAAACAGTTGACTTTCTCTAATTCCTGGGAGAAAAGCAGCGTGACAAACTCCCAAACACAACTGCAGAAGTGCCCTCCTGCAGAGCCTTTGCAAGTATGTGCACCCGCAAACACGCCTCTCCTGCTGTGGGAAGGAAGCGTGAGCAACAGGCTGGCAGGTGAGACAGGGGAAGAAAGCACTGCCACGGGGCACGGAACTCCTCCGTAGCAAGAACACACAAACTCTCACTTCTCTTGAGACACTGCCTCCAGTGTCGCCTTCCCCTCGAAACTCGGAGCTGAGAAGATGCAGGAGGAACCGTGCAGAGCCGTCACCATGCAGCCTCCCACCGACGCCAGGCAATGATAGAGGGGCGCAGGGAGGCAAACACGATAGTCCTGGGATCAAGCCAAACAAAGACAGCAGTGAGGAGACGAGATCTTCCAGTCCCTGCCTAGCCCATCTCACTGCTACAGCTCAAAGACCTCAACAGAGGAATTTCCTGCGTTCATCTAAAAATTGCTGGAAACCTGACATTCATCTGTGCTCCCACTGGATGAAAATGCTGCTCTGATGCTTCTTGCCTTGAATTAAAATTAGTTTAGGATTTTTTTTCACATCAAAATTTCATTCTGGAATTCTGCAATGTCGTTTCTTTGCTGGACTGCTGGACTTTTTGGTCGGGTACTGCTTACATGTTACTTTACAATATGCCAAAATATACAGTGGTAGTGCTATGAAATATGCAGGATATGGCACACGGTTTTAATTTTATTGTGTTTTTTAAAACACCAAAAGCTCTCAACACCGACTGAAACAACCCATCTATTTTTTTTTTTGATTAAAGCTGTTGTGTGAGAAATAACTACTTCAGAACTTCAAAAGAAAATATTTGCCTTTAATGATTTTTAAGAGGAGCTAAAAATAGAAAGCTTCAACAAGGTCATATCCTGAGTACCACGACTGTGTACATGACATGAAGGAAGCCATGTAAAATAGATTAAAACCTCATTCAATAGAATTCAATAGAATTCAAAGCTGGCATCTAGAGCCTTGTAGTTGTTTGAAATGAGTATTCACCAAAATGAGAAGCAATCCACTTCACTATTTTTCCCCTACAAAAATGCCTTTTTTTTTTCTCTCCAAAAAACTTCACATGAAACTAAAATGCAACTTCAGTGCAACTCCACTGCAAATAAAAGCGTTATGTGGGAAGAACACAGAAGGGTCCTTCCATCTGCTGGCTGTAAGGAAGGTGACCTGAAAAGCATGAACTGTTTGTTAGAACAAACTCAGCCTTCTGAGAGTTTACACTTTCCAAACTTGCCCAGCACCTCATTAGTCACTCAGTAGCCCTCAGTACCAGTTGTGGCATCCTGCCCTGCGGCTGAGCAAGCACCAACTCTCTCCGCACAGAGACCATCCTACCCCTGCGTTCCCAACGAGACCCACCTGCTCTGTGATCCCCAGTCTTTCGCCAATGATGTTGCCATTATTCACAATGTTCCTATGAGAGAGGGTGGCTCCTTTGGGGCTTCCTGTTGTCCCCTGAAAGACAGAGAACATTCTGCAATGAAGTCACCTTTTTAGAGGATGAGGTACGAGTGTTCTTTGGGGCAATTTCCCAGGCATTTTCCCCAGGTGATTCTGGGGTGATCTTTCACTTCATTCTCCATTCTGACCAGAGAGACTTTTTTTTTTTTTACCAGCATCTCAGTCCCAAATCAGGCAAGAGAAAAGTGGCCCAACTACAGCTGGACAAATTCACACAACACCTCGTGCCAAAAGGCTGAGCAGGAAGAATAGAAGTAGAATGGGAACAAGTCTAGAACACACTCTCCATCCTACAGCAGAAGGCTAAAAAAAGACAGAACCAGGACTTGGTCTAAGAGTGCAGAAGGCAACGTGATGCTCAGCACCTCACACAGTTCTCTCTGCCTCCCCACTTAGGAACCCAAGCACAAGCCGTGGAGCAGCCAGAAGCACTTA